TCTAACCTGCAGGCCCAGTTATGCCCTTACCCACAAGACAACCCTCAGTGGGAGTGGGGCCAGGGGAAGGCACTGACCTTGGGCACTAAATTCAAAATAACAACAACAACAACAAGAAGAACAAATCAGACGTCCAGAGAAATATTTGACACAATATTTTAAAAAATTGAAATTCATCCAAAAGTGCATGATCATACATCAATTTTATGAAAGCAGGCTGATGTTTTTTGTCTGTCCTAAGATCCCATATTATTGTGAAAGAGGGACAACTGTCTCCTGTGAGGTTGTTGTTCTCAGGCTTGTATGTCTTGTCACATCTTCCTCATGTGTCTCCTGTGGGTCTATGAGGATTGACATGGTGTGCAAATTGACTGAACAACCTAAGACTGTATTTTTCAATTGAATGCTTTTCTCCCCCCGGCAGTACTGGGAACTAAACCTAGGGAGTGCTGAGCTGTACCCTTGCTTTATTTATTTATTTAGAGACTGGGTCTCAATAAGTTGCCCAGGCTGGCCTCAAATTTGTGATCTTCCTGTCTCAGCCTTCTGAGTAGCTGGGATTGTAGGTGAGCACCGCCACACCTGCCTCTTTGATTGGAGATTTTAAAAATTTTGTTTCATTTTGGTTTTGGTTTTCTTGAGATGGGATCTTACTATTTAGTCTATGCTGGCCTTAAACTCACTATGTAGCCCAGGTTGGCCTCAAACTTGTAGCAATTCTCCTGCCACCATGCCTAGCTTAATGGGAGACTTTTTATTAATTTTTTAAAATTGATTCCAAACCCAGAAAGGTGCTTTGGTAAGAGGACACAGGAGGCACGTCGTCCATTATGTTGCAGAGCAGCACTGACCAGCTGATCTGGCCCCTCTTGCCAGCGCGTTCCACTCACAGGTCTGGGAGGAAGCCCATGTGTGCTCAGCCTTGCTCTCCAGCCCTCTCATCTATGGCTTTGTCCATTGTGTGTTCTTGCTCAGGTGTCCCTATGGCCGCACATTCTCAGAATGTGCCTAGGTTTCCCTTGTAGCTGCCCGGTACCCCATGTCACATATCTGTGCTATTGTAATACAGCTGAGGCTCTGGGGCTGCTCCTCTCCAACCATCTGAACCTGAGCAACACCCCAGAGCCACCCCTGCTTTACCCTAAAGCTTACCATGTGGAGGCAGAGACAAGAAAAGCAAAGACCCCATTTTAGTGGCCCAAATGCCGGTTATTAGGTGAAATTCTCAGTATCTTAATGAAAGATGTATGGAGGCTCTGTACTTGAAAAGCAGTGAGGACCCTACCCAGTGGATCAGATGGAATGGTGGATGTGAAAGTCATTTATAAATTGTAAAGTGCTATAAACAGTGAAGTGCTACCTAAAGAAAAATTATTGTTAGCCTACAGGCCTGGGAATCTTAAAGGTTCTTATGATCTAAGATTTTATTTTGCTATAGGTTCACCCTCATTTGTTTGCATTTACTTTTTAAACAAAGCCCTAATAATAACAACAGAGTTATAGCAAACTTTTTTAAAAATCTGAAGCAGCTACATAGTCAAAACAAAAATTGAAAAGTTAAAGTTTTCTAGAAATAAACAGTGTTGGGCACAATGCTGCTGAATTCAGTGTTGAAGGATTTAAAAATTTATTTCAGACAAAGTCTACATAAAATTTTTTAAATATACACAAGGTCTAGGTGGAGCTACTACAAAGCATTCTGTTTGAGGAGTATGTTTAAAAAGTCTAGCCCTGCAGGACTCTGGAGAACATGGCAGACAGACAACAGCAACTACTGAACGCTCTCTAAAGGCTCGGCTCAGAGGCCAGGAATGATGCGGACTAAGGAGATACGAACCAGTAGAGATATGCTCTGCTGACTCAGGAACGAACTGGGCTGAGAGAATCCAACTTGGAATACAGTCCTGGCGCTAAAATAGGAACAGAAAAATCTCGGTGTGGAGGCTCGACTCCACGCCATTGGAAACCGCGGCTTGGATTTCCCGCCGCGCGGCGGCCGGCTACCTCCACAGCGGCTCAGCAAGGAGAGACGCGACCCCCGAGCTCTGGGAATGGGCGTCTGGGAACGGTCTCGGAAACGCGACGGGCAGGAAGGAAGGCTGACTGGTGGCAAGGTGAGCGAGGAACTGACTCCCTACCACAGTCTGACTCCAGCGGAGGATTTTCTGGGCGCGGGCAGTCCTGTAAGAGCAGGGCGCGGTGGCAACTGCAGCCGCGCATTTCCCTCTCGGACGGGATTGGTGAAAGGTGCCTGGCCGGAGGGACGCTGCTGGCGGACTCCCTAGGCTGGCCTAGCCCAGATCCCAGAGCTTGACGGTGGCCCGGAGGAGCGACCGACTTCCGCGTAGGCTGCCTCCTCCGCAACTCCCTGGGGCGCAGCGGTGAGCTGGAACAACTAGCCAGCGCAATTCAATCAAGCTGTAGCTGACAGGCAGGGAAGCCGGGCCTCCTGTGTAAGATTACATTTTATAAGGAACAGAAAATATGGGGAAGGGAAGCAACAAAAAAGGCTCCTCGACCCCCAATCCTGAGAATCAGGCAATAGTGGACACTGTACCAATATACATTAAGCGCCATTTAGAGAGCCTCATAGACCAATTCAGGAATGAAGTTATCAATGACCTGAAGCTAGAAGTATGCAGAATAGTTAGAGAAATGCTAAGCACCACCCAGGAAAAAGCAGATGGTGGAGTGGAAGAACAGAAAAAGAGGGGAGAATTGCTTGATGGAGAAAACAGAGAAAGCATTGAGTATGTGAAGCAGGTGCAAAGGGACTATCAAGAAATCAAGAAGTATACCCAAGACTGGCATAACAGCTTGAAAGAAACTAAGGACAGACTATCTGAATTGGAGGGCAGACTTGAAACATGGGAGAATGAAATGAAAAACTTCTTAAAAATAACAAAGAAACACACAGCAATAATACAAAGACAAGAAGATGATAAGAGGAGCCATAACTTAAGGATAAAGAACATAAAAGAAGAAGTAGGGACACAAACAAGTGAACTACAAAAGCTACTCACAGAAATAATCCAGGAGAATTTTCCTAATTTAGCAAAAGGTAAAGATACTCAAATGTATGAGGCATACAGGACCCCAGCTACCTACAACCCTAACAGAGAAACACCCAGGCATATAATAATAAAAATTCCAGAAATCAATACAAGAACAGAATATTAAAAGCTGTAAGAGACAAGAAACAGATCACTTACAAGGGAAGACCCATCAAAATTACAGCAGATTTCTCTTCACAAACCATCAAATCACGAAGAGCATGGGGAGAAATAATTCAAGCTTTGAAAGATAATAATCTACAGCCAAGATTGAGATATCCTGCACAACTGTCCCTGGAAATTGATGGAAAAACGAGGTGCTTCCAAGATAAAGAGGAACTGGGGGAATTTGCAACCACCAATCCAACCCTACAGAAAGTATTGCAGGATATTCTAAAAAAAGAAAAATACAAAGAACCCAGAAATAGGGGCGGGGAGGCCACAACGAATAGAGCAGAGACCAAAACGAAGAAGACAAACTGACAGCTACTGACAGAAAAAGAGCTCAACAGAAATGAGACAGAGAAGATTGGATGATAGGAACAGCTTTTTTTTGGAGAAAATGACATCTTAATAGGTAATGCTGATTTAGTACCATCTTGGTTTGAAGTCTCATCTAGCTTTTGTTCTTCTGTCTCCAATGGTCTAAACAGGTTGTATCTTATTGGATTTTACTATGTACGATAGTATAAGAAAAAACCTTTTAAAGACAAGGAGATTATACAGAGACCATTGTTCATTTTCTGTTAGTCGATTCTAAATACTCTATAATGCTGTTATTCTCTTAAATGGATTTACATTGTTTTGATATACTTAATGCTACAGTATATGAAGTTGTACTCAAGGACTTCAGGGAGGGAGTCAATATGGTAACTATCTTTGGGTCAGGATTAGCTGGTGGTGAAACACTATTCTGCTTAAATGGTTATGTTTTGATCTGCCCTGTTTTGCTGTTATGCCCTCTTTTTTTCTCAATCTCCACTCCATTATTTACTTTTTTATTTTTACCCATTTAATTACAGGGAAAAATATAGCAGGATATAATATAGTAACCCACTTTGACTTTCTATTATCTCGATTTGAAGCCCTGTATTACTCTCACCATCTTGTTTTTGACTGAGGTTCCTATATTCTGTTTTGCTGGATAGTATCAGGTTCGAAAGTTTAGGCATCAGCTGAGAAGATAATGAGATTCATTATAACGCCCATTCTCGTTGACTTTTATCTACTTTTGAAGACCTACAATGTCTCCAATGTTTTGGTTTTGTCGGTTTTATTCTTTACGGTTTTGTTCAATTGTATTACAACTAATGATATAGGCAATTCTATTAGAAATAGCGGGAGGCATTAGGGTAACCATTGTTGATCACCTTGTATTATGTTTTTATATTATCTATTATGTCCACCCTTTTGACTTGACCGATTCTGTTCTGTTATGTCACATTTGGTTTTACTCTCTTCCAAAAAAGCAACAAGAACCGTGGGAGCAATGAAACCCAAAATGTGTAATAGTCACTGTACAAAAGAGAGGAAAAGAAAGTGCTCTAAACTATATAACTGCATGTATATTTAAAAGTGTAAGATAGAAAATGATATCATAGAGTTTTATTGGATCATTGAACAGAACTGTTTGCAGTATCATTGGTGGAATGTCCACTCTACAAGCTTTAATTTTGTGACTTGAACAATTATTTCTAAGATGGCAATATGTAATCCATTAACTAGTGATTTCCTACTGCGCATTTTTTTATTCTGTAAATCTGTATAACTTGTACCCCTTCACTGTTTTTTTTTCTTTCTTTTCTTTTCTCCTTAAATAAAAATTAAAAAAAAAAAAAAGTCTAGCCCTTCAGTCTATGTAGGTGAGTCCTGGTAGGAAGATGTAAAATTGACTCTCTTAGAACAGAATAATTAAAGGATAATTTCTTATTAACCAGGAAGTTTTAGATCCTTCAGTTCTTGAGCATGATGACTGGGTGTTCACACTGTATGCGTGAGATGTGCCTCCCTCAAGCCTTGTTATGACGTCAGCACATTACCCATCTGATTGGAAAAATAAAAAGAGAGAAAAGGAATTTTAAAAGCACCATGTGTTTGCCTAGTTGCATTTTTATCATATAAAAAATGTTAGTGAGTTAAAAATTGTTTCACAAATTGAAATCTAAATGCAACACTACAATTCAGTTTTACCTGTTTTATAACTTTTTCACGAATAGAGTCCTCTGCACCTACTTTGCACTATACATACCACGATCTTAAAGTCAGTGCGAGGTAATAGACGCAGCTGAAATTCTTACCATCTTGGTGTATCTTGAGTACTATGTGTGACACTTGCCTCAAGTTCCTTCCATTTGCAAACTCAGACTTGATTTAACCAGACACGAAATATGGTTCAAGTTCTAACATCTTTGCTGTCTTTAGAAAAGTTCAGAAAGCCATCCAATGACATTCCCAGAGTGTATTTGGAAGATCTTCAAGGGGTGAATCAGTTAGAAATTCGTCATTGGGCTCATACCTCTGATCCAATGGTTCGGCCATCACGGCAAGCCTCTCATGCTGGTTATCTCAAGACATTCCTGAAGGCAGCAACAGGAAGGGAATTCCAGTACTTCATATTTTAAGCAATACAGCACCTTGTGCCAGCTTAAAGTTCTTTGCATAAAAAGTTGTGATATGTCTTAAAACAAAAATTTAATTTTTAATAGTCTGAAGACTGATATATAGAAGTGTTTGCAGACACCAGAGCTTACCATTGGCCTAGCCCATCAAGATATTTTGAGCAACTCTGAAAAAATGACTTTCTTTATTCAGAAGTCAGATGCTACTTCTTAGAAGTCAAGATCTTTGTGATTACTGCCATTTAACATTGATTGAGAAATTCCATCATAAGGGCAAAACTTCTGTGCCAATAAAGCAAGTCTTTATTAATTGTATTCTTTTAAAGGAGGCTTATTGGGCTTATTCTGAGGAGGTTGCTCGTGTTTATCTTGTTCTGCCAGAATTTAAGTGAGGTTTGGTGTGTGGCAACCCTCTCTCTCTACATCATCAAAGTCCCTAGGAAGAGGCAAATGTTGAAAATATATTGTGAAAGTGTGAAATGGAGAACAAGAACTTGAATTTGGCTAATATGAAGTAGATATTATTGTAGGGAAAATGGAGAGTTTAATAGACAAAAAATAACGAATAGAATGAGAAAAGTTTAGCTTCATCCAACCATACGTGGAAGAATAAATAGAAAGCTCTAAAAAGCTTATGGGAAGGTCATGGAATTTAATGGGGAGGGAAATAAATCTTTGATGTTCTTTGAGTCAGGGAAAAACTATCAGGATGAAAGAAACATTAACCCTACCTGAGTAGATATTTTATTAGAACTGTATTCTAACCAACTGAACTATGTTATACCTGGGAGGTATTTTGAAATGAAGTTTTTAATTGATATATTTTTGTTTGGATAAAATAAATCACGTGGAAACTATCTAGTATATATAAGACAATAAGCACCATTTGAATTATGTAACCTATTACATATAAAATGAATTTAGATTTTCAAATACCTGGTAAATTTAATAATTAGCTAAATATGCTAATTATAGTTGCTCTTTTAAGTGGGTTCCTCTTATTTATTTTGGGTTTTTTTTTTGAGATAGGGTCTCCCTACGTAGTGCAGGTTGGCCTTGAACTGGTTTAGATAACCCAATTGGCCTTGAACTCACAGCAGTCCTCCTACCTCAGCCTCCCAAGAGCTGTGATTACAGGTGTGCCATCACACCCTGTGTAGATTTTTATTTAAGGGACTTTGGGTTTTTATTGCTATGTGAATTGCTACATGAACTCAAAAGAAATTAAGTTGCATTCTCATAAAAATGTTTTATAATCCCATACATTTTCTGGATTAGTCTCTCCTGCACTGCTTACCCATGGTGCATGTGACGCCTTCCCATGCTGCCCAGAGATACCTCAAGGCACACAGCTTCCCACAGAGAAAGCAGACATATATGAGCCAATCTGTACCACAGAAACAAAGGAGAGAACAGATCCAAGGGCAGCCAATCCCTGGGCTGATTAGAAGCTAAGGGGCGGGCTGATGCAAAAGATCTCCCAATTGAAGACCATAATCAGCTGGGCCAATCAGAATCCTTCTCAGGAATCTCACCTATGGATGTAGAAATCCAGTCTCTGAGAGAAGCAGGGATGAGGAAGAGTATGTCAAAGTGGCAGAGGGGGATTATAGGGATGGGGAAGGTGCCTGATGGTACAGGATCTCCATTAGGTGGGCTGAGTAGTTATAGTGGGCTCCTAGGAAAAGTTCATCTCCTCTTTGTGGGTAGCCTTACAATAAAACTCCACTCCTAAGGCAGCATGAATGATGTATGAGCAATGTACAGCCCCCAATCATCATTGGTACTTACTCTAAAATTTGCTAAACTTCTGCCACAAATTTCAGAGGCAATTTGTTTTAATTTTACCTACACTATTGGAAAAATATTTTGAACAAAATACAGTAATAGGCCATTATTAGGCATTATTGGGTTTTAAAATATTTACCAGTGGACTCTGTAGAAAACATCTCTCACCTACAAGTACAAAACAAAACAAAATTAAGTTGACAGTGTGGTTGTCATCCTTACTGGGATAACAGTCAGGAGAAATAGAGTGATAATTGTTTTCTTTCAGGGCAGACATAAAATTGTGTTTCTTGTTTCTACCTCTAAAATTAGGTCATTTATGTGAACACTGCCTCATCTATAGGTCAGGGGCTTACTAAAAGATTAAGCATTTTTCTCAGTTTTTTATTACCAATAGTGCAGAAGGTCAAGTGCTTTGGTCATTTACTGAGGTGCTGGCTTGTACTAACATTGCTTAGGGCACATGTTTGAAAAAAATAATAACAGCTAATTTTAATGTAGCAGAAACACAGGTGAAAGTGTAGTAAATGAGCATTTGAAAAGGCTTGAGAATCTAAGTACTGGTTCAGCCATTAATAGACCATATTATCCAGGACAAGATTCACCGTCCTCTGTAAGGCCAACAAGCTGTGTTCCTGAAGTTCTCTCCATTGTATCATCTCTTTCACAGAAACAGAAGCTCTGCCAAAGCAGTGCTGCCTGCTTCATCTAGGGCTGAGTCCTTGAATAATTCCTGGCATCTTGCAGATGCTCAGAAATGTTTGTTGCTATTGAACGATCCATGCTCCACATTGTTCACTAAAAGACTCCTTTACACAGGAAGAGTTAGCTTTTCCTTGTGCACTCAGTACTCACTGGCTGGGTATCTCATTTGGCTCTCTGGGAGGACACCTTACTTGTTAATATGGAAAGACAGGCATAGAGAAGCCTCTAACCGGGGAAGAAGACCAGCCGAGGAATCGGAAAACTTGGGCTACCACTAACTCCGGTGTGGCTAAGTCATCCTACCCCTCCAAGATTCTGTTGTCTCCTCCTTAAGGAAGGAACCCTATTAAGGACCTTTTGGGAGCAGGCCTCTGTGACAGATGAGTGTGAAGGCCACATAGATCCATGGAGGGGAGGATGTGGGCTGCAGAGGAATGAAGGTGAGACAGTGCATGCAGAGGCACCAGCTCATTAGAAGCATCAAGATGGGCAGAGTTGGCTTTTTATATTCACCACTTCACATCCTTTATGAGCATCAACTGGAGTGGCTCTTCCTTTGCTCTTACTGGTTCATCAAAGCAGGTTACTGCTACCGTGGAACTGTGATGGGCTGGTGACACTAGGGGACAAAGTTGCCCAGCCCCCAGTTTGTGGCAATAACCAATGTGAATACAGGTGGAGTGATTCTGAGCATCCCGCTATAAACTTTATAGAAAATTCCAATTTTTTTTGAGACACAGTCTTGTCTTATAGTCTGTGTTAGCCTGAACTCACTATGTGTCCTATACTGGCCCCAGACTTGCAGTGATCTCTTGCCTCTATCTCTCTTTCTCTAGTCTCTTCCTCCCTCTTCTCCTCCCTTTCCCTCTTCCCCCTTCTCCCCCTCCCTCTCTCCTTCCACTTCCCCCTCTCCCTCTCTCCCTTTTCCTTTTTCCTTTCCCCCTCCCTCTCCTTCACCCTGTCCCTCTCCCCACAGTGCTGGAGATCAAACTCAGGGCCTCATGCCTGCTAAAGGAGCACTCTGCTAGGGATCTACTTCCCTAGCCTTTTGGGTTTCTCTATGAAAAATAACTAGACATCTCATACTCTCTAGAATGGCCACCAAACATAGAAACAAAAACCAGAAACACCAAGGGAATAACAAGTATTAGTGAAGTTGTGGAAAGATTGGAACTTTTTGTTCATTATTGGTGGAAATGTAAAATGATGTAGCCACAATGGCAAACAATCTGAAGGATTCTCAGAAAGTTAGAAATAGAGTTACCATATAATCTAGAAATCCCACTTTTGGACATATATAAAAAGCAGAGCCAGGTGTGGTAGTGCCTGCCTGTAATCCCTGTGCTGGGGAGGCTGAGATGGAAGGCTGAGGCAGGAGGGTCACTTCAAGTTTGAGGCAAGCCTAGACTACACAGTAAGTTTAAAACCAGCCTGGGCCACATAGTAATATTGTGTCTGAACCATTCCCCCCCCCCCAAATAGAGACCTGAAAGCAGGATTTCAAAGAGGTATTTGGACACTCATATTCATTGCAACATTGATCATAGCAGCTACAAGGTAGAAGCAACTCAAATATCCTACAGATGAGTAAAGAAAATGTGATGTATTCATACAATAAAATGCTACTTAGCTTTTAAAAAGAAGGAAAGCCAGTTACACACTATAGCATGGCTAGACCTGGAGGACACTGTACTGTGTGAAAGAAGCCAGTCACAAAAAGACAAGTACTTTGTGATTCTGTCATATAAAGCATCTAAAATAGCTAAAGTCACAGAGACAATAAACAGAATGGTGACAGCCAGAGGCTGGGTGGTAGTGGGGATTATTCAATGGGCATAGAATTTCAATTTTGCTTAAAAAAAAAGTTTTAGGGATCTTTGTATACCATAGGGTCAATATATTTCACACTAGTAAATTGGACACTCGAATGTGGTTTAA